CACAGGACGGCGGGTACGGAGGCCACCAACAAGCACACCAACACACCAACGCCCGGATGGAGGTGGAGGTGGAGGTGGAGGGGGGGGGGGGGGGGGTGCAGACGGCCCTGGGATCTGGTCGAGGTTTAAGGGCAAGGTTTTCCAGGGGGATGCAAATGGAGAAGCGGAAGATGGGCCGCCGAGGTACGCTAGCATGGTGTCGTTCGGATAAACTATGTTGTTGTGGTTGATTCGATGCCCAACGCCGGGACCCCTTTTTACGCTGTTGTATTTTTGTGGTATTGTGCTCCTCGAGGTGTTCCGTGTTGATGTAAAAATTTACCTCGAGAAACCGAAAATCCAAGAACTTTCCGCATAATATTGGGGGGTGAATTGCGCATGTACGGTCCTCTCTCATTCTCGCGGAGGTCGTTGGTCACGAATCTTCGAATGCACGCTTAAATAGTTTAGATCGATATTTGCCACCGCCCTCAACTCGAATACGATTTTGCATTTGAAGTCGACATACATTCTCGAGGCGACAGTTCCCTATGACAACCAAGCAATGAATTATTCAGTGGTTATGCATTTGGTCAAATTCCCACCGAAAACTTTGCTCGAGATTTCGACCGGAATTTTTTCCTTTTTTGTTTTTGCTCTTTTGTCGCCTGCGCCGTCGCCGCCGTTTTCGGCAGCTTCCGACCCGGCGGATCCGTGCTGAAGAAGAAGGAGGAATCCGTGGCGAGTGCCAACATCCAGGCGTTCGGCGGCCCCGGCGCCTACGGCAACCCCTTCCCATCGTTCGCGGGCCCCCCTGGCTTGGGCGGGGTGAGATAGAGAATGAAGCAGAAGGGTGACCAACCCTGTTTACTGTTGTGCAGTGGTGCCTCAGCTAGTCACCGCCGTCCCAAGCGGTGTAGTGTAGAGAACGCGAGCAAGCTCTGGTTACCCCCTCCTAGGGGGTGCTGGTGTGCGCTTGTGGGCGCCGCTTTCCGACTTTCCTTGTGTTGTATTTTTGCTGGGCGTGGGGACGAATTTGGCGTCACGACGCACTCGGTGTGTGCCTCTAGATTCCTTGGGTGGTTGATGCTTGCGAGACGTTTGCCAGAAACTACATCTAAAATACAACTACCTCTATCAAAGGAAGACGTCGGGTTAGATACAAACCGCAGTCGCACAGCATGTGTGGGAAGTCTTTACAGCAAATGGAAGAAAACCGGCTGGATGCTGGGCCTAGGTGACCTGGTATGTGTGAAGGGAGATGTGAAGAAGCTGTCAGGGTACTTTGTAGAAGGGAAACAGGGACTATCAGGGTATGCATATTGTACGTACTAGAAAGAATACATAAAACACTGAAATTCTACCCGTTCGAGACGTAACCACAGTCGAAGAGGATGTGTTGCAAGTCTTGATTGACAGTGAGAGTGAGAGAAAAAGCTTATTCTGTTCCGTTCTGACTCGTGTTTTTTTATTTTTTTTTCTTCAGGGCCAACAGGACGGCCCGACGCCCGACCTCGCTGGGCCCGGCGCGCCTGAGGTGATCTCCGTAGATGGGAGCATCGTCATGGTGCTCAAGCCTAACGATCTTGCCAAGAAGAAGAGAAAGTTCAAGCAGGTGAGTGAGGATATATATGAAGCCTTTTTTGGAGCCTTGAGGTCGCTGCTTTGTTTCGCTCGGCGATGTTGGCGTGCTGATGTTGGCTTTTGGTGTGTGTCCGGCCTAAGATATACGGTGCCTTGGACGACGACGTGCTATGTGTCGCCCCTCCACTCTTCCAAGAATCCAGAAATCGGGTCGGGGCTAGGTTTCTTTGTCCAAGGCGAATAGTGGCCACGGGTTATATATCCTGTAGGACCTGTTGTGGGGCTTATCTCGAAGGGTGGGGATGCCTTCTTGGTTTTGGCCCGGGTTTTCGCGCGGGAGCGGGAAGCTTTCTTGTGTGTGTGTGAGAGAGAGAGGGGCCCATGATGTCGGGTGAAGTCCTGATCCCCACGGACGGCGCCAGTAGGGTTACCACGCATCGGTGTTCTCGATGAAACCAGTCGACGCAGATAAGTCTCTGCAATGCAACATGCAAACCAGTGGACGTAGATCAGTCTGTGCCGTCGACCGAACAACCACCCAAAGCAATGCGACGGAATGCTCGCCCCCCCCCCCCCCCCCCCCCCCAGGAGGGGGCCAAAAACTGGCGGGCCTCCCGACCTTTGAACCCTGGCCGAAGGGGTTTCCCGCCCAAGGAGGGAAAAAGCCCCGGCTCCAAAACCCCCAACCCCTGGAACAAGGGGCGAACAACCACCGGGGGGGTGGTGTTGGTTCTGGGGGGGGGGGGGCCTGGCCTTTTCCGGGCACCTGGGGCGGGGGGGCTTTAACCTGGGCGCCCGTATAAGGGTGTGGGACAACCACCCTCCCTTGGTTTAAGGAAAACAAAATTAGGAAGCCTTTTGCTCCTTAGAAACCCTTTTTTTGCCAAAAACCTGGGGGCCCCCAAAAAGAAAAAACCAAAAGGGGGAATTT